TATATATATATATATATATATATATATATATATATATATATATATATTCATACGCACACACACATACCTATCTATCTGTTTGTCTATCTGTGTATCTATCTATTTATCTATCTATATATTTATCTATCTATATAGATGTATGCATGTATGTGTTTATGTGTTTGAGTGTGTGTGGAGAGAAGGAGAGAGAAGAATAAAGATGCATGCAAATACACTACACCGCAGCTGCCACAAGTAACTTAACTAAAGCTATGGAGGTGACACCGCGTTTTCCGCCGTGTCGTACGCGATCTCAAAGTTTTTTTATCGGTGTCTTTCACATGCATCGATTACCCGCTATCCGCCGCGGACGGCAAAACACCGCGTTAAAAGAGGGCGATGGCGGATGCCGTTGATCACAATTTTTTTAGGCAACTTTTAGACGCATCGATTTTCACGTCCATCGACGGTAAGTCCACGGCGACTAAGTTAACGCAGGTTGACGCGAGTGAAACACTTTTTAAAGCCAGTGACTACATTTGAGAGCACGGCGCAGCGCCGTCCATGAAACTGCGCGTTCGACATATATGTGAATCTCTGATTGATGTCAAATGTTATTTAGAAGCACAGCGTCATCCCACATATGACGGACAGTGAAAACTCGATGTGTCAGAAATGGACGGTAAAATGCCGTTTCGTGTTAAAAAGAGCATGGGCATTTCGCTTAGTCGATGCAAGTGAAAGCGCTCATTGATGCCTGTGACTATATTTGGAAGCACGATGCCGTGCCGCCCAGTACTTACGAGACGCGGTCGTGGACGCCGCTGTGCCATACTTTTTCTATCGCGCTGTTCAACTTTTACTACCATACAAATTTTATTTTTACTGCCATACCATGTTTACCCTTACTAGCATACCACATTTAGGTGAACAATCCTACCATACATACAACATTCACCACCACGCCTTCGGCACCAGGTTCCATGAAATCCCCGCCTGCTCTCCTTCCGCGCTGGTCCAGCACACACCAGACGCCCCCCCCCCTCCCATCCAAGCAAAAAACGGGGCAATCACGATGATCCTCAGACAACGAAATTCACACGAGGAAATTCTCAAGAAAACGGAGAATCTTTCAAGCACCAAAAGTTTGGAGGTTTTTTTGTCTTATAACTCTCGCGTGTTCGTCGCTGCCCGATTCTCTGATAGCTGCAAAAACCTTCACGCAATTTAATAGTTGGTTATTCCTTGGCTCCTGTTTTCTTTTCTGTTTCTTTTTTTTCTTTTTTCGTGTGCGAGTGAGAGTGAAAGAGGGATGAGGTGTTGGCGGCATTAAAGGATTCATGGTAAACGAAAGTCACTGACAATAGCACACACACACACAAATATGTATACAATATTATACTGCTGTATATATATATATATATATATATATATATATATATATATATATATATATATATATATAGATAGATAGATAGATAGATAGATAGATAGATAGATAGATAGACACACACACACACACACATGTATATATATATATATATATATATATATATATATATATATATATATATATATATATATATATATATATATATATATATATTATATATCTACAAATATATATACATACATATTTATATATAAATATATATATATATATATATATATATATATATATGTATATATATATATATATATATATATATATATATATATATATATATATATATATATATATATATATATATGTATATATATATATATGCACATATAAGCACACAATATAATATTTTACCTTTTGTTAGTATTATTTGATAATGCTCTCTATCAAAATCATATACCCACAAAGTGCGGAATCAACCAATACACTTCACATCTAATCCAACCAGTCCTCGACACAGAACCCATTGTGCCTTGTAGTTGATGTTTGTATTGCATATGCAACACTTTCTGACCTGATGCACGCCGATCGCTGCCTTCCATATCTGTCAACTATCAGTTACGTGTAATCTTTTTATATAGAGTTATCATTACACGATTCATGACAAATAGTAACCGAATATGAAAAAAAAAATATATATATATAACTAACGCTGAGATGATAGATAGTGAAACAAATGACATAGAAGTTGTCAAACACATGTCAGAGCCACAGAGTAGAAAAGGCGAGGAACAGTTGATTCTCCTAGATCCGCAAAATTTTTAGCCTTGCACGAGTAAAACAAAACAGCACATAGAACCTTTTATGAGAACGTTGCAGAAGATACCACACTGGTTGGCATTTTACTATCATTTCTTTTTCAGATGTCCAAATCAAAGTGTTTTTTTTATTAAGAGTGGGTGAACAAAATTTCGGAATCTGATATCGCAGTTATTTCTCGGCGCCATGCTGGCTGGTCGGCGCTCGACACTGATGCAGTTATTTATTCATTTTGACATTTGGGAAGAATGTTTTTCGTTTTTTGTTTCTCTCGCTTAATGCAATAATTCTGTGCTGATGGCCACTTTGCGGAAATAC